CTTTTGGTTAAAAGCTAAGAGCTTAACCACTGTACCACCAGGGCTCCTCTAGGTATTATCCTAGGGACATTATATAACTTCTCTGAGAATCATGGCCCCATCTATAAAGTGTAATACTATCTCTCTCACTTGAATCTAAGAGGAACCGTATAAAAAGCATGTTACACAATTATAGAAATGCTGATTATTCCTATATAAACTCTTTCTGTTTCATAGTTGTGCCTTAGCTTCTGTTTTGGAGAGATGACTAAGGAAAACCAGACTACATCACGACCTGAATTTCTCCTTCTGGGATTCTCCGATCTCAGGGCTCTGCAAGGCCCCCTATTTTGGATGGTGTTTCTGGTCTATGTGGTCACCTTACTGGGCAACTCTGTGATCATACTCCTTACTCAAGCCAGCCCTGCCCTGCACTCCCCCATGTACTTCTTTCTGCGCCACCTCTCTGTGGTGGAACTCCTCTACACCACCGACATTGTGCCCAGGACTCTGGTTGACCTCACCTCCTCACACCCCCGGGCCATCTCCTTTCAGGGCTGTGCAGCCCAAATGTATGTCTTCATTGTCCTGGGCATCTCAGAGTGCTGCCTGCTAACAGCCATGGCCTATGACCGCTATGCCGCCATCTGCCAGCCCCTGCACTACTGTACCCTCATGAGCCGGCAGGCCTGCATGACCATGGTGGGCACTTCCTGGCTCATGGGCATCATCACAGCCACCACCCACTCCTCCCTCATCTTCACTCTGCCTTTCCCCAGTCACCCAGTCATCCCACACTTCCTCTGTGACATCCTGCCAGTACTGAGGCTGGCCAGTGCTGGGAAGCACAGAAGTGAAGTCTCTGTGATGACCGCTACCATAGTCTTCATCATGGTCCCCTTCTCTCTGATTGTCACCTCTTATGCCCGCATCCTGAGTGCCATCTTGGCAATGGTCTCCACCCAGAGCCGCCACAAGGTCTTCTCTACCTGCTCCTCCCACCTGCTTGTAGTCACCCTCTTCTTTGGAACAGCCAGCATCACCTACATCCGGCCCCAGGCAGGATCCTCTGTCACTGTGGACCGCATCCTCAGCCTCTTCTACACAGTTATCACTCCCATGCTCAACCCCATCATCTATACCCTTCGGAACAAGGAGGTGACAGGGGCCCTGCAGCACATGGTGAAAAGGCATGTCCCCTCACCCTGAAGGGACTCTGAAGATATCTCCTCCCTGATTGCTCCTCCTTCCCACGTTCAGGCCCTGGACTTCAATCCCAGTCTAACAGAAACCATGCAGCAACTCAAAGAAATAAGGCTGCCTGGCCACACTGTTGGAAGTAAAGCAGAAATAAATCTATATCTATACCCCAAGGAGCCCTCGTGATGCAAAAAATAAGCACTTGGTGGCTAACCAAAAGGTTAGCTGTTCAAACCCTCCCAGTGGCTCTGTGGGAGAAAGACCTGGCAGTCTGCTTCCGTAGAGATCACACCCTAGAAAACCCTATAAGGTAGATAGAGTTGCTCCATCACATGGGGTCGCTTGAGTCAAAACTGACTCGACAGCACCCAACAACAGCAACAACAACATCCTATACCCAGGTTTACAATCATCATGGGTTGTTAGGACGAAGTCGAATAGAATGGAGTGGTGCCTTTGGAGAAGAACAGTTAACATCTAACAGATAATTTTAGATCCCTAAGCAGCTCTGGTAGCGTAGTGCCTAAGGCACTTTACTGCTAACCAAAAGGCTGGAGGTTCAAACCCACCAGCCACTCCTCAGAAGGAAGGTGGGGCAATCTACTTCCACAGTGATACCGCCTTGGAAACCCAAGGAGGGGTTGCTATGAGTTGGTCCCACTCGATGGCACACAACAACAATGACAACAACAAGCAATGTGACAGCCAGTGGCCAGAGACCCATGTCAGTTATGAACACAGATGTCTACAAACTTGACATCCTAATACATGGCCCACTCAGAGCTCATGGAAGAGTTTGCTTGGCCTGTTCCATCAAGTTTTCCCCTGTGTCTAAGTCTCATCCTACTTAGTGGTATATTTATTCTGCTCTCAGACTCCAGCAGAAGTGTCTGAGGGGCCTAGTCATAAAGGAGCAGTTCTCCACGTCCAACATGCCAGCACAAAAGGGAGCATAGTTAGACTGTATCAAGAAGGATGAGGTTAGATACCAGGAAAAACATATTATTAGGAGATCCTGTAGTATGCCTCCCAAAAACACACTGGAGCCTCTTGCTTGGGACATCTTTAAGAAGAGAGGGAAGGTCCCTGAGGATGCAAACAGTTTGCAATTGTCTAGTAACCTAAAGGTTGGTGGTTCAAACCCACCCAATAGTGCTATGGAAGAAAGGCCTGGTAATCTGATTCCATAAAGAATATAGCCAAGCAAATCCTATAGAGCAGTTCTACTCTGTAACACACGGGGTTACCATGAGTAGGAGTCAACTCAACAGCAATGGGTATGTGTGTGTGTGTGTGTGTGTGTGTGTTAAGAAGAGAGGGATCCTATCAGGGATTCTAAGAGAGCCAGCAGCTTGAAGGGAGAGATTCAGAGCCAATGCTAACCAGAAAGCCTGAGGCAGGAATCTGCGCAAACAATGCACTCCCATCCCTCTGGTGCCGACATCCCACTGCCTGTGCATGTCCCCTCAGGTTTTGTACAGTGGTTTCTATTACTTTATTTCCCTCGGTGTTCTCCATAACCACAGACAGCAGAAAGCTGATGTATAAACAGACTACTCCAGATAATGCCTCCCTAGTCCATCAGTCTCTCACATACCATCGCCTTCTCCATACTCTCCTATTCATCCTGCAAGACCCATCTCAAGAAATTCTTCCTTGGAATTTGTTAACCCCAACACTCCTTTATACTGGGGCTAATATAAACCTTTATAAACTATTAAAAACATTTTCCCAATGAATTTCTATTATTTTTCATGTTTCTTCATCTATTTCTAAGCTGTTAGAAACCCGAGGACAGGGAAGAACTAAGTCCCCATCACTCCCTAAATAGCTCGATAAATGTTAATTTATTTAATGAATTTCTCAAGTATAATAATGCTTGAAGAGTCATTTCATAAACCCTAAAATATTATATAAAATTCTATACATTAAGCGTTTAAACACTGTGTTCTAAATGACTCTCAGTGAGGTCAAAAACTGAGGTTTCCTAAATCACTGAGCCTGCTCCCCCTCAAAATATTCCACACTAATCCACTTCCCCGCCTTTCTCACCCTTGATTTCTGACATCATCCATAACTAGTGATAACATGGTTAACTGGACAAGAGCACTCTGGGCTTCCCTGTTCTCCCAGCCTGTGCCAGCACCTTGATCCTGCACCTCCGTCACCAGCCCCTCAACCTCGGTGAAGTCCTGAGGCCATCCTGGATAGGACTGGAGAGAGGACATGCGACACCCAGCATCTGACCCTCTTTCAGCATTTGGAGAATTTTCCACTTTAGAAATCTGGTGGGGAGAAAGACCACATCTCCTTGTGGACCTGAGAATATTTCCTAGTTTCCTAGGCACATGGCCTGGGTCCCACCAATTGGATGCACCCATGCTTGACTTTGACTGAAAGCTTGTGCCCACAAGACAAGCAGCAGCATTTTTTTTTTCCACTCACTTTCTGGTAGCAGGAAAGAAGACTTCAAAGCCAAGTTTCTGTCATAAGAGTGGCATCAGTGCCCCTGGCAGCAGCAACAGTGATTTCTTTGACTGATCAGTTCACATTTGGGAGCTATCCCTGGAAGCTTAGCCCCTGGCAGAGTCTCCAGTCCTGCCAATAACTCTGTGAATTACTCTATTTTTTTTTAAATAAATTTTTCTTTGTTCTGCTTCATTGTGCAGTAATTTCTGTTGTTTTCAGGGATTTTGACTAATTTAATAGGTTTGAAAGCAAGCAGAAGCAGAGGGAAAACTTAATCCTGGTGCACTAGGA